ATGGTCGCTTACTGAATGCAATATGGCAGAACCGGTATGAAAATATTCAAAAACAGAGGACATCATAAGACCACCGGCTCCTAAAAGTGTAGGGTATTTTGACAACGTCCCTAAAACATTACCCATTTTGATCGGTCCTTTGATTGACATGGACTCGAGAACCCATATTTTTTATTGCATTTAATGAAAGAAAATAATCATATTTTCTTATAAAATGCGTGAAAATATTTAAAATCAGAGGACATCGATGTGCCACAGCCCGATGAAAGTCCTTCTCGATCTAATTGTGCCCCAACATGTTGAACATCGCATCAGCATTCACTCTATTCCGTAACGTTACTCTCGAGAATCCACTGTTTTTATTGCATGTATGGTCGCTTACTGAATGCAATGTGACAGAACCGGTATGAAAATATTCAAAAACAGAGGACATCATAAGACCACCGGCTCCTAAAAGTGTAGGGTATTTTGACAACGTCCCTAAAACATTACCCATTTTGATCGGTCCTTTGATTGACATTGACTCGAGAACCCATGTTTTTTATTGCATTTAATGAAAGAAAATAATAATATTTTCTTATAAAATGCGTGAAAATATTTAAAATCAGAGGACATCGATGTGCCACAGCCCGATGAAAGTCCTTCTCGATCTAAGTGCGCCCCAACATGTTGAACATCGTATCAGCATTCACTCTATTCCGTAACGTTACTCTCGAGAACCCACTGTTTTTATTGCATGTATGGTCGCTTACTGAATGCAATATGGCAGAACCGGTATGAAAATATTCAAAAACAGAGGACATCATAAGACCACCGGCTCCTAAAAGTGTAGGGTATTTTGACAACGTCCCTAAAACATTACCCATTTTGATCGGTCCTTTGATTGACATGGACTCGAGAACCCATGTTTTTATTGCATTTAATGAAAGAAAATAATCATATTTTCTTATAAAATGCGTGAAAATATTTAAAATCAGAGGACATCGATGTGCCACAGCCCGATGAAAGTCCTTCTCGATCTAATTGTGCCCCAACATGTTGAACATCGCATCAGCATTCACTCTATTCCGTAACGTTACTCTCGAGAACCCACTGCTTTTATTGCATGTATGGTCGCTCACTGAATGCAATGTGACAGAACCGGTATGAAAATATTCAAAAATAGAGGACACCGTAACAGTACCGGCCCTTAGATGTGTAGAGTATTTAAACAAAGTCTGTATTATACGAGTCATTTTGATCGGTCTTTTCCTTCACTTTGACTTGAGAACCTATGCTTTTTATTGCGCGAAATGAATGAGCTTCATCACATGTTCATTGTTCCTATTGAATGCATTATAATATGCAAAATCAGGGGACATCGATGCGTTTCAGCCCGGTGAAATGCCCAGTTGATGAATAGCTGTTTGGCCCATTTTAACACTGCGTCGGCATTTACACAGCATCCGAACGATATGCCTGATAAGAGAGCATGAATTCCTAGGTATTGCGAGCTATGTATGCATTGGTGCCTGTCCAGTGTTCATACGCTTTACCCATTGTGGCATAAAGAAGACATTCTTAGCTTATAAAGATATGTAGTAAAAATAGGTTTTTGGTCTTCTCATTATGTTTAAGTGGTATTACATTTCAAGTTGCGTGTAGAGGGATTTATTTTCAGTGTTTTGTCGTAAATAAAAGTGAATTAGCTGTTAAAACCAACCTTATATAACTACAAGCTTGGATAGTAGTTTCTTGGATTAGAAGTTTTCACTACAGGGATGAAACTTTTGCACTACAATGACGAAAACGTCATCAATCGTCATCAGATATCGTTAATTTTCTGAAAGAGCACTTCCGGCAGAAGAAAACGCATTACACAAAATAATCGAAGTATCTTCACTTGTTATTTATTACACTATGGGAGAACGTTTGCCCTGCCAGATAATTGAGGTTCAGGTATCAGGACATCGGACTTCCTATCTTAATATGAAGTGTCTCTCGTCTGAGACCCAGATATTGAACTTTGGAGCTGGTGTCTTGTCTCGTTTTTATGACAGACTACAGAGGTTGTAAATATAAACGACCTGGGCTTTCCAATAAAACGTGTTAAGGTCTAATTCGCTCAGCTCAATGTTGAAGTCATTGCAGGTCATCAATGGTCAAATGTCAAATGGATCGATCTGCAATGCTTAAAAGTGTTACATTGCCCTTCGTGCGTAAGTTATAACTTAAAATGCACAAAGAAGGGATCTTTAAAGAATCTGTCGGTGAATCTTCATGTCATAAGATCTCAAAGGCACCATTTGTTGCTACGAGTGGGGCACTCCAATCGCTTCAGTATAGGTAACTCACAAACGGCTACTGTTTGAGGGTGCTGAATGATGCGAAGTTTCTTATTTCATTTTTCCCATTGCCTGATAGTATAATAGGAAGGCCACTACGCGGCTTGAACTTGGCTCACCGATCATGGAAATCCGAGATAGACATTTAGTGCGTCTCGCCAACTTTTTCATCACTGAACTGGCTCAAAATCATTCGTTAACCCGGGCATGACTGGGGCATTTTCCATAACGCTGCTAACAGAGCCTCCTCCCCCTCCTATCTCCGAAACTACTGGGCAGATCGTCAAAATTCAAACGGCGTATGATAGCTCTGAGAAAAGCTGTCGAGCGAAGCCCAATTTTATTGACTTTGAGGTTACTGATGACGTCACACTTCAGGTCAAAGTAAAAATTATCAACATTTTGACTTGTTCACAATTTAGACCGTGGCCGCCGGCTACCAAGTCCGATCAAGCTCTTTTTTTTGTTACACGCTCTTTGAAATATACCGTAGATAACCTGAGGGTAACGAACTTGTAATTCGACTTTTTCAGGTCAGGGCCAGGTCATCCTAGGTCACGGAAATTTTATACCATGCATCGGTCACGTGAAACATGTTGTATGCTCCATTTCAGCCATAGATTTCGAAAACAGTATCGTCTGTGTCATTTGAGGCCATTTTCATCTGAACATAGCTAAGGTCAGGTCACCAGGCCAAAAAGGTCAAATTTTGAAGTTGAAATTTTTAACAAAAAAGGTGTCTATCATAGTCAGTTAAAGCGCAGGAACACCATTTATTATGTTGTACGATGTCAAAAAGATACTGAAAATTGATTTACCTACAAATTGAAAATGTTGAAATATTTACTACCTACAAAGCGTTAAACTCAGCTATTTTTGAAGATATCGGATTAAACTTCCCAGATTAGACCATCAGTATGTGTTGTATCACGTTTATTCCGTTTTTTTTTTTTAAGTGAAAAGGTTAGGGGAAAAAATTAAAAGTTGAGTATTTCTATGACTTAAGTTTCCACACTTTTGGAAATCCGTGATAGCAGTTTGATAGCCCTGTGTAATCTGAGTCCTCTCATGCAAAGAAATTAAAGCTAGCTTAAAAACTGAGCTTATGAGAGTGATTGCCATAGTTCAATATTTTGTATCAAAATCGGCCGACATGACGTCACTTTGAAGTCATTGCCGGCCGACCTATGGTAGCTACGAAATTTTCCTTCGGGACGCAATAGGTATACGAGAGGGGGCTGTATGGGGAGGGGGCTCTACAGAGCCCGCTCCCTCAGTCTTGCGTGTCAGTGTAGCAAGAGTGAGAAGGATTGACGTTTTTCTTTAGTTATGTAGGTATACAGTAAGTAACCTTATCTCGAGTGGGCCACTATTAAAACATTGACGCGCTGCTATAAATACACTACAGGTGTAGTTATCAGGTGTGCTAAGCCTTAAGACTCTTCGCTCGACCGTCTTTAAGCATAGGCGGCGGAACGGGGAGGGCACCGGGGCACCGTGCCCCCCCTTTGATTTGGGCATTTTCATAGGCGGCGGAACGGGGAGGGCACCGGGGCACCGTGCCCCCCTTTGATTTTGACATTTTTTACATTAGCCCTATGGGTATTGCATGGAAAGAATGCGGACCAAAAGTCGGCAGTGCCCTTAATTGAAGGTGTTCCGCCGCTACTGTTTATGAACAAAAACTATTGGAGGCGCTCAAACGCTCACGTATCACGCGATTATTTTTTATTTGTGACGGTCTTCAGTGGCGGCCTAATGTTAGAACTGTTGGTGCTAGGGATCAATGTTTAGTGAATAGTGGTTATCAGGTAAGTATAAGGTAAACGTCACCGAAAACCGCTTCGTGAAAGCCAGATTAGAGTGGCATTGCTGCAGCATTGCTGGGACGTAACAATATAGCTATAGATACTACCTATATAGTTATACCTATTGATGCTAAACTTGATATGCAGTACATCTAGGTATTGTCTGTGGCTGAGTAGGTGATAAAACAAGGTTTCAGTAAAGCCACGCTTGCTTCTTTGAGACAGTGTGTGAATCTGTGGTATAAATTATAAAGGTCTGTTTTTGCCGGCACAGCTGATGACCACAATGTCCATTCTTTTAGCAATCTCATTACTGGGCCTCGGGTGACAGAGTAACTGTATCACTATTGTGTGGATGGGCCCTGTGATGTTACACTCATTACAATACAATGCCGCCATTCTGTCCTAAATTCCGACCAAAGGAGTGCCCCTCCCCCCGCCTCTGGACGCCGGGATGATGAGAGTGGCAGGCGTGACAGGTAAGCCGCCGGACGCTCCGTCTGACCCCAATCGCCCCGGGCGGCGATCGATAGGGTCGCTCGTTAGGTGCCATCGCCCGTCACCTGAGCTGTGGCACAGGACGCAGGTGTGGTGGTGATGGGATGTTACTGAGGCGAGATAATATGAGACGCGTCTGCCAGGTTATCAGGTGTCGATAACACCGAGTCATGCTCGATTGACAATCCTCGAAGGTCGCATTAAATCCGACACTTCCCCCGAGACGAGCAGCACCAAGCCCCTGACGATAAATGTCCCAGGGTTTATGCATTTCATTTGGTATGGTTGAACACGAATACGAGCCTCATCCCTGTCAACACAACCAAAACGTTCTGGCTAGCGAATAACTTTACTCTTCCTATTGTTTCAGGGAAGCGCGTTGGATCGACTCTGGCAGGCAGACATCTCCACCAGTAGAGGTGAGTCACGCGACGACCTCACCAGCAGTAATTTAGTCAGCCCGGACAGCTCACCGTCAAGAGTTCGACCGCGCCTTGTTACGTCATATGTGAATGGGCTGAGGGACGCAGTTTGCCAATGCGTAGTTAAATGTTTTTGCTGTTGCATGACATTCTATGAGATATTGTTATGACCAATGCACTGGGCAGACATTTGGGACGGTCGGCTAACGCTGGGCCGTCCCGCGTACCGAACGATAGGGCGATGATGTGGCGGGTAGTCAGCGATTGGGGACGCCAGGCCGGCGATAGGACAGTGCTGTGACCGGTGGCTGGTGACCGGTGGTCAGCGATTTGGGACGTCGGGCCGCGTCGGGCGATAGGACGGTGCTGTGACCGGTGGTCAGCGATTTGGGACGTGTGACCTCGCTGAGCGATAGCCGCCCGATGGCCGGTACGGGCGTCACGACCCGGCCACGGACGCAGCGCCGCGATCAATCGGTGCCGGTCCGAGCTATCGCAGTGTCCCCCTCACACCACCCGCTGCCCCCCCCCGCCCCCCCCCCCCCACTAGAGCACCAAGGTCACGGCCGGTGGACGCGCCCTGCAGATATAGCGGAAACACATGACAGCATTCCAATAAACATGGTGCGCGCAGTAACTTAGAGACTGTGGATACAAACGTCATCCAAACATGCAACATATCCGACAATGGACATTCCAACACTAACTTTGATTCATAAATCATAACAGACTTCAACTCCGTCCTATACCTTCGCCAATCTATAACGAGCTGGTATGTTTAAGTCCGGAGCACAATACCTTCCATACAAATCCGGACATTATGCATTCCACAATCTACAAAACCATAGATAAATTTGAAGAACCTGATTGACGTTTTAAGTAGCGTTACATTCGCTTACGGTTATGTCAGGAAGAAAACGGAATCGACTTGCAATTGACGATTTGACAATATACTATTACATACAGCGATTTCTGCAGCCCATTGTGTGTTGTCTCGCCGCAGGGTTCTCCGTGCTGCCCAGCAAGTACAGCGCCGACCGGGCCGGGTGGGACTACTCGTCGACGCCGTCTCCACCTCGCGACAGTCTGGGCCGTCCGTACAAGGGCTCCCCGACGAGCCGGCCGATTCTGGAGCCGCTGTCCGGCGGTCACCCCCGACCACATGGTGAGGCCGGTTCACATCGTCCGGCGGCCACCATCGGCCGATTCTGGGGGCGCTGTCCGGCGGCCACCCCCGTCCACACGGTAAAGAGGGCTCACATCGTCCGGCGGCCACCACCGTCCACACGGTAAGGCTGGTTCACATCGTACGGCGGAGACTGCACCGTCCACATGGTAAGTTCGATTCATAGTTCACGCCGTCCACAGGCGACAGTGAGGTCGGTTCATACCGTCCATAGGCGACAGTGAGGTCGGTTCACACTTCATACCGTCCACAGGCGACAGTGAGGTCGGTTCATACGGTCCACAGGCGACAGTGAGGTCGGTTCACACTTCATACCGTCCGCAGGCGACAGTGAGGTCGGTTCATACCGTCCGCAGGCGACAGTGAGGTCGGTTCACACTTCATACCGTCCGCAGGCGACAGTGAGGTCGGTTCATACCGTCCGCAGGCTACAGTGAGGTCGGTTCACACTTCATACCGTCCACAGCGGCACGATGATGTCGGCTCACACTGCACCCACAGCCCCACGGTAAAACAGGTTCACACCGCTCACTACCGTCCACAGGCGCGAGGTGAGGCCCCATGCCGAGAACCGCCCACAGACGTGCAGTAGGTCTACAAAATAAGTCCCCTCCGTATGCGGGCAGGCGGCGCCTGAGTAGCGCTCAGGCGCTAACTGCCCACTGGTGACCCGCATACGGCGGGGACTTATTTTGTAGACCTACTGTACTGTACGGGGACTTATTTGTACGGTGAGGCTCCCTGTGATAATGAGCTCCTTATTTGCTCTACTCCTGTGACGACATGATGTAGGTATCCATCTCTCTTGAAGTAGGTATGTACATTTTTGCAAACGGTGTCTGTGGTGCTCCTTGTTTGATGTTCCTTATCTAAATATTTTGAGTACTGAGCTACGCGAATCGTCTAAATAGTCTTGGACTCACTTTGGGGCATTGGGCTCTGACCGGGCAGCCTCACAATGTACCGATTCGCCCGACCGAACTATCGGCTACCCAGTACCCACGCCACCTACAGGGGAACGTAGTTGGCAGTGCTGCCACTGGCGTCGCCCCCTGTCAGCGAGCGGTCCTCATTCGTGACTGCTCGAGTGGCTGGGTGGCCTTCCCGATTACCATGGCACTCTTGTTTCAGCTTGGTTTAGATTCATCCGTTACCGGTAGTATAGTCGATTACAGAATGATGTTTCACTCCTCAGAAGCTATCAGTTGACCAGAGCGCTTTCCCCGTGTGATGCACCACAGCCTACCACTTCAGGCAAATAATTGCCTGTGAAAAGTGGAACATCATTCTCTGTAGTCAACTATACATTCTTTACTGTCATTGGCCATACTTTTTTGTTCCGCGGGGTGACGGATAGCCCTGCCTATAGGGGCATTCCAGGACAAAACGACCAATTTTTTTAAAAAATGACACCCTTATATTTTTAAAAATTCTGAAACTTTGTGTATTGGGTAATCTGACACGCTGGAGACGGTTCTGCCAATATTAGACCTCTCCGACAAAAGGTCACAGAGTTATAGCCTCCGGCATTTTGGAGAGGTCACCCTAAAGACCAATCTTTGAGGGCATATATCTCAAAGAAAGAATATTTTAGGTATGAAAAATATATACCGATGGACTCAAAATTGATCAAAAAAGATTTTGGCTATCTCGAATTTTTTTTCAAAAAAATTTCAAATTTTTTGATTTTGTGACCAAATTTTCAAAGACCTGGCTCGACCTTTTCCTCATCGAAATTGTACTTTTCGTCTATAGACAAAATGTTTTTTGATCAGTTTTCTTTCGATAGAAAAAATAAAAAAATGGGTTCTGCCTTTAAAATATATTTTTCGCCACACATAGATGGCGCTGCTGATGCTGTTTTCCTATATTATTACGGAATTTAGATGATAAGATACAGTTCATGACAGATACGTGTTTTCTAACAACAAATAAGACACTGTGACCCTTTTGAGTGGCTATTTAACCTTCCAGGCGGGGGGGGGCATTTTTTGCCCCCTTTGGTTTTTTCGATATATCTCGAGAACCGCTGCGCCGATCGTCACCAAACTTTCAGTACCCTTCCGGGAGTAGCTAGCGCACATGGTGACCAAAAATTTTTTTCCAAAGGCTATGATAGGTTGGCCGCTAATGACGTCAGAGTGACGTCATTTCTGCCATTTTCGACCCAAAAAAAAGTTTCGCGGGAAGAGCTGTCAGGCCTACAGCTTTAGAGATACAGAAAAATGTTTAATAAATAAAAGGTGTGGAATCAAAAGGGCTACAAAACTGCTATTTCGGTTTTCCGATTTTTTTTATTTTGACCCCCAAAAATAAAAAGTAGATTTTTTGAATACAATAGCCGAAAAATCCAAAATGTTTTTAAAAAATTTCGAAAAAAAAACGGAATATATGTGGTAGTCCCTACCGCTTTCTATCTACATACCAAATTTGAGATCGATACCTCTTTTTTTGGCCAAGTTATAGCGAAAAAAACTTCAAAATTGATGACGTTAAATTTTCAAACTCAATTTTCAGCAATTCTAGACCTCGTAACGCAAAACAAAGACCACCATTAGACTCCCCGTGACGAGCTGCATCGAATCAATACCCATTTTATGCAAAAATATCAACTTTGAAATTTGACGTTTTTTACCTGACCTTGACCTGACCGGCTGACCTCCACCAGAAAGTGACCTATTCCGTACCTGATAGTCTTATAACCAACACCATTGAGTTGGAAATGAAAAACTGGCCATAAAACATGCATCGCACAATCTTAGTAAACTTGGGTTCATGTGGTGACCTTTGGTGACCTGACCTGTGACCTGTGACCTGACCTGGTATGACCAGTGACCTCTAATAGCAACATATGTACTAGACAACTGACGCCTTATCGCTGATTTTCGACAAAATGCGTTTTACTCGGTGTTATAGCGCTTTCCCTAGAAGCCCCGTGAACGGTGAAACATTTTATTTTTGACCTGACCTGTGACGTCATCGGTGACCACTAGGTCAACGAAATTTGGTTTCTTTCGACAAATTTGACAGGGCTATCGAACGCCGTTTGAGCTGTTGTTGGGAAACACACTTTGATCATCATCTGCATCTTATTCTCAATTCAGTAATTATTCAGGAAAAACAGCGTCAGCAGCGCCATCTATGTGTGGCGAAAAATATATTTTAAAGGCAGAACCCATTTTTTTATTTTTTTCTATCGAAAGAAAATTGATCAAAAAACATTTTGTCTATAGACGAAAAGTACAATTTCGATGAGGAAAAGGTCGAGCCAGGTCTTTGAAAAATTGGTCACAAAATCAAAAATTTTGAAAATTTTCAAAAAAAAATTCGAGATAGCCAAAATCTTTTTTGATCAATTTTGAGTCCATCGGTATATATTTTTCATATATAAAATATTTTTTCTTTGAGATATATGCCCTCAAAGATTGGTCTTTAGGGTGACCTCTCCAAAATGCCGGAGGCTATAACTCTGTGACCTTTAGTCAGAGAGGTCTAATATTGGCAGGGCCGCCTCCAGCGTGTCAGATTACCCTATACACAAAGTTTCAGAATTTTTAAAAATATGAGGGTGTTCGGCTGTGGTTGAGCTGTCCTGGAATGCCCCTATAGGCAATCGGTTCAACTCCAGTAGGAGCATACCCCTCTCCGAAGTGACCGTTAGAACGGCTACGTGGCCCGTCCCACCGCGACACACCTATCCTGCCCCACGGGACGGGCTCTGCCGCTGCAGCGCACCAGCTGGTGCACAGGTAAACTCAACCCAATGCAGCTCTGATACCTGCGATGGTCAAAGTAGGTACCTGCAA